AGTAGAACTGCCTCTGCGGGTTTCTGAGACAACCCCGTCTTTCTCCCTCAGAGGGGCTGGTGGTTTTGAACTGCTGACCTTGGGGATCTCAGTCCAACTGTCCCCGTGGCTGAGGCGGCTATGGGCTCCCAGTCTACTCAGCTTCCAAATCCTTCTGCTTCAGACTGTGAGGCTTCTTGGGAACACAATACTGTGCCCTCCTTGGCCCAACGTCACAACAGTCCCTAAAGGACACGGCCCAGTGGAGAGCTCTGCTCATGACAAGCCCCCACACAGACCAACGCTGTCTGGTCTTCACCATCCCCCGGGACCCGATGTGAATCTGACAAGGCTCTGTTGGGATGGTAGGGTTTCCGTTGGCTGATTTTCAGAAAGCCTTTCTTCCTAGCTTACCATAGTCTGAAAATGCCGGTTAGCTGTACTCTGGTGGCTCCAGGATTGCTGGGATGTGCGAAGACTACACCATTGACATTTTCAGTACCAGCAGAATCGCCCCTGGGTAATAGCTTGCTGCAGTTTCTAGATGAAGGCAGACCAGGAAGCCAAGCCCAGCCAGCTGCTTCGGAAAAACAGCCGGTTGAACATTCCATAGAGCCCAGCCCATTACTGTTCTTCCATAGTGCTGGAAGCCCAAACATGCCAATGATCATACAGATGGTGTATGACAGCAAGGACTGTCACACGCAAGGCCATCACGTGCTCTCCTTGACTAGACAGCAGCTAACCGTAATGCACAATCCTTGTCGCAGGAGGGCTTCCAATTGGTGCTCACAAAAGTCAATGAAAATACAAGCAACCACCCACAGAAGAGGCAGAGGAGGATGACTTGTGTGTGTGTGTGGGGGGGATCCCCACACAACAGAGAGCTTCCTGAAGTCAATGCAGTGCTAGGAGTCTTGAGGGATTGGTGGGGGGTGCTAGGAGAAGAGAGAAGAGATGATGAGATCAAAGCCAGGCAGGATTGCTCTGACGCGATCTGGGAATTTTGCCTTACACACAAATACAAGGTTGAGGCCTGTTTGGAGAGAGCCTCTAATTACCATGAGAGTCTAATATAAGGTTTAGATTGGGCTGCTAACCTCAAGGTCAGCTGTTCAAAACCACGGGCTACTCCACGGGAGAAAGACGAAGCTTTCAACTCCTTTAAAGAGTAACAGTCTGGGAAAACCCACCAGGGCAGTTCTACACCTGCTCTGCCGGGTCGCCCAGAGTCGAAATAGACTGGGTGGCACCGTCTGGATGGCAGGAAGTGTGGATGGCACAGTCTGAATGGCACTACTGTAGTTGGAAACAGCCCCGCCCACCGCGCTTCAACCAAGCGCTCAGCCGGACGCATGCGCGTCGCGCTACCATAGAGATGCGCGGCTAGATCGGCCGCTCGGCCCGGCCGCAGACATGTTGGGTCTTGGCAGGCAAGTTGGAACCGGTCGGGCCCTCGACCAGGTCGCTCTGCGCTGCCCCAGGCCGTGAGGACAGAGGACGCCCCGGGGACGCGCGCGATCCGGCGGCTGAGTGGACCCGCGGCCCGCACGGACGG